ACAGAAGGATTGGAAGAAGAGGGATAGGTTTGGAAGGAATGGCTGGAGGGTGAAGGGTGGAGAACTGGGGTGACAGTTAAGGGGTAAAGGAGGGAGGGGAGTGAATTCTGAAGGAGGTGAGCACCACAATTGTAAATGTATAAAAAATAGTGGAGGCAGGAAAAGGCAGAGAATTGGGGAGGCAGCAATGGGGAGGAAATGAGTAGAGGGTTAGGGGAAACAGACTGAGGAAGCAGGAAATGCAGAGATGTTTGGGAAGCACTGGGTATGAAATGCAGCAAGAAAGAAGAGAGAAGGCAGAGAAACATGAAGGCTATGAGTAGAGGGAGGGTCACCGGCCTCCCAGGGGCCACACTTCTTGTTCTTCTGATAACAAGAATATACTTACATACAGATCATGGGAAAAGCATGCATTTTCTTTATTTTCTTTTCAAAAACACAGTTTAAGTGAAGCCTGTCTGTCCAGGTCTGTTGCTATTAAGAAATAGCTATTTAATCATCTGTAATATATCTCTAAACACCTTACTGTGATAGGTTGTTGCCTCTGACACCATTAAAACCAAGCACTTGTTTTACCAAGAAATTTATTTATTTATTTTCAAATTTATATATGCAAGTAAGACTATTTTATATTAATCTCTCTATTCTACCTAACTGCACATGCAAACAATTCTAAACATTAAAAAAAGAGAGACAGTTAAAAAAAAAAAAAAAAAGGGACCAGATAAGATCCTATTAGTCCTCTTGTGTTCTGGTAGAAGAATACCAAAAAAAAAAAAAAAAAAATTTTAAAAATTTTTGGGGAAACCAAAAGTAAAAAAAAAAAAAAAAAGGGACCAGATAAGATCCTATTAGTCCTCTTGTGTTCTGGTAGAAGAATACCAAAAAAAAAAAAAAAAAAATTTTAAAAATTTTTGGGGAAACCAAAAGTAAAAAAAAAAAAAAAAAGGGACCAGATAAGATCCTATTAGTCCTCTTGTGTTCTGGTAGAAGAATACCAAAAAAAAAAAAAAAAAAAAACTTTCAAGAATTTGTGAGGAAACCAAATGTAAAAATAAAAGATCAGTTTTATCATTGTTTCATCCAATAAACCACTTACAGTAGGGCCTTACCTACAAACGTTAATAACTTAAGTGTTAATCCCTTACCTATGAGAAAGAAAAACTAAATTGGATTTTTGCCTGCTTTGAATTAATAATTAATTAAATTTAATTTGCACACAAACTCCAAATTCCAGAAATAGAAAAAGATGGGGTTTTTTTCCTTTGTGGTTTGCGACAGACAGACTTTGCTTCTTCAGGGATGTTAATATGAGATATCAGCAAAGATGGGATTGTATGGAGTTTGCAAGATTCCCATCTTTACTTTCCTCCTAGATACAACTTCCAATTTAAATCTCAAAGACCCTCCCTTGCCCTGTCACTTTTCACCCCAAAACCTGCTTTATTTCCTCTCCTAAAATGTATCATGAGAGACTTGGTTTCTCTTATTCAAAGCTCAGCTACTCTTCAACATGAAATTAAATATATTTAATTTATATAAACAAAAAGCCAAATTTGCTTGTTAAATAAAATAGTAGAATATGGTAGAGAAAATTATTCCGTGTAGAATCATGGGTTGCTGAACAGTAGGGGAGGAAGGGGCACAGACATTTTCAAAAATGGGCTTTATACTTCTTTCATTAACAGAATTCTGAGTTAGAAGAATATCCCCTCCCCTTTTTTTTTAACCTGTAGTTTTAGTCAGAAAGACTGTCTCCTCTGCAGGGATCTTACACAAAGCCCACAGGAGACTTTGTTATCCTTGCAGAAATGTCTTTTACTTGAGTCAAGAAGAGACTTTGTCTCCTCTTCAGGAAGTTGTTGAGTCAAAGGAGCAAAATAAAATAGATAAACCAGGTGCTGGTTTTCTTTTTGGTCCAAGATATGGGTAACCTAAGGTGATTTATATACCCACTTGTTGTTTTATATCAATCAGTAGTATCACCACAAACTGAACTCTCAATTTGTGCTCATGTTGACTCTAAATCAATGTACAGCCTCTGTGTTCCTTGCATTTTTCTTTTTTCTTTTTTTTTTACACCAAATAGTGTTCAAGTGAAGGACCAAATATTTTAACTGTCTTTGTTGAATGGTCTCTTGTCCCACTCACCTCAGCTTTACAGAATTAATTTTCAGGAAACTCTTTTTTGCTATCAACATTTCTGGGAAGTGACTTCATTGTTTATCTCTTCTTGCCCTAGAATTGATTTCAGCTGTTCTAAAGCATCATAGAGGTCTCCAGAAAACAAAAAAAATTGTACTGTGTGATGTTTCTGTTTAGCATTTCATGATTTGCAGTTTTATAATACTGTATATGGGCCTAGAACAGGCCTTTACAACATGCAGCCTGCCAAGCAGCCTTGTATAGCCTGCCGGCATTATTTAAAAGTCAATAAATTTGCCACCACTGCTGCCACCCTAAAGGTCAAGCTGCCAAGCGCCTCCAAAGCCTCCAGCCCTCACTGGCACCATCACCAGCACTGCCCCACTCTGCTAGCTGCCAAACAGCTGATTGGCAAGCTAGGTATTCCTTTGCGGCAATTATTTTTAATTTATCAATGTGGGCCTTTCCCATCTACAAGTTGTGCACCCCTGGCCTAGAATGTCCTCCAGAAGAAGTTCCTGGTATTTTTGTTGCTGTCATTGCATTGCATCATGCCAATTTTATCTGCATGAAGTAAACAGGAAAAGTGATACTACAAAAAACAACTTTTTGAGACTTGGGGTGGGTGTATCATACTGTATTTTTCTCCCAGCACAAAATGTGAGTGAATGGAAATCTGATCCAAAGTAGGCAACTAGCCTTCAGTTAGATTGGATGCTTAAAAGTTGTTATGCATTCCTAGCAGGGTAGCAGATGGGGTTCTGATGATGATCAGCCTCTTGCTTTTTTCTGACATGACCCTTGCCCCAACCCCTTGGCTTCACTGCTTGTGACTTCTGCCCAATGAGCTTCATCATGATTTCAGAAAAAATGCAGATTAAGTTTGTTAACATTTGCAGACACCCTCTTGCTATTAAAAATGGAAGTAATTTGTTTTTGGTTCTTTAATCTGTTATTAGCTTTACAACTAACAGGACTTCAAAACACTTCACAGATTGAAATTAAATGTGCAATTCAGTTGTTGGAGTCATAGGAACAATGCCAGAAAAATAAATGATGGCAACTGTAGTATCAAATCCTCATTTGGATTTTGAGGGAAATTTTAGGGTTGCTTCTCTAAATTTGCTTAACTTGGCCAATTTATTAACATTTCTATATTTACAAAGCTAGAAAACAAAATTAGTTCCCAAGAGATTGAAATATTTAATGATTGAACTAGGCAGAATATTTGCTGGAAGAAATCTCAGCGAAGCTATACATTTCAATCTCTATTATTTCCCAGAGCACCTTGTATGAAAAATCAGCTACCCAGACTTCCTAATATCATGATGCCCTTTCATCAGAGACATTTTTGGCTTTGTCTCATTTCACATTTTTTAGCCACAGATTTTAGAATCTACCACATATTTGCTCAGAAGCAAATTCCACACATTAAATGGGGCACTATGGCTATTGTATGCAAGGTGGCTGAAAAAGAGACTTTAGTGCCCAATTCAAGGAAGCTTTTTTAGGGAGGTTCATGGGGTGCATACAGTACTAATTTGGGTGCCCAGCACAACTCTTTTAATTTTTCCAAGCTTTTAACTTACAGCGTACATAAGAACATAAGCAGTGCTTTGCTGGATCAGATCCCTAGCACATCTAGTCCAGCAGTCTGTCCTCATAGTGGCCAACCACTATGGTTGGCCAACTGCACAAGAAAGTCCATTAGTCTCCTAGCAGATGGCCTTCAGAGGTGGTCATAATGCCATCAAGGCTAATAGCCATTGATCCCCAGGACTTTCATGAATTGGTCCAACCATTTTTGAAGCCAGCCAAGCTGGTGGCTAGCCCTATATCTCATGGTATTTTTACATGTAAAGTAATGCCTTTTAAAAAATAAAAAGTATTTTCAACTTTTTTTTTACTATCATCAATTATTCTATCTTCTTGAAACTTTTAATTAAAAAATATAATAAAAGTTTAAATACAAATTATTTTAATAGGACCCCAGGTTCTGTTAAAAATAGAATTGCAGCCTTAGAATGACTGATGGTTTTATTTATGGTCTGAATTCATTACGCTTTAACATGTTGTTGAACATAGCCTGCAAAACCATTCTTTATGGCTTAATGTGAATCTGATCAACTGCATTTTATTTGAGTAAGCAAATCATGGCGTGGTTTAATTGAGGAGATTTTTAGGATTCTGACATATTCAGGGAAGGAACTTCCTTTTTTTTTTCACAGCATTCTTCTGAATGTCTTTTTTTCTCCATTGTATTTTGTTCATTAAAAGTCAATAGTCTAGTAATCGAAGGTGTCCGAAGAGAAATCTGCAATACTGGTATAATATATATACAGGACTCAGCTGCTCTTACCTACCTATGCCATTATATTCATCAGATACATTTTGTTGAATGAAAAACAACGACCCATCTGATCATTTAGCCACACGTCGGAGGGACTCCCGCTGCAGTTTCTCTGCCGCTCCTTTGGCGCAGTGCCCACGATTGGTGGGTTGGAGGCAGCGGGAAATGCCTCGTGCGGTGCCTCCTACATTGCGGCTGCTGCCCAGAATATTTGCTTTTAGTTTTAAAAAGCAAAGGCAGTCGTGCAACAAAACACTCTCTGTGAGGGCCAGGAAACCATAGGGAACGGTAAGGTGTCTCTCGAGAAATTTTCCAGTTCTTTGATACTGGTATGTCCTCCCTTCCGGCCGATTGCCGTGGAAGGCAACTCATGGTCGCGTCTTGGCTCCAGGGCGCCTCTGGTGTCCCCGGGGCGGCGTGACAAAAGCATCGCGTGCGAACGAGTGAGTCGGTCGCTGGCAGTTCGCTTGTCACTCACGTTTTTTCCAGCAGTCCCCCAGTTAAGAGGAAGAAACGGCCGTAGATCTAAACTGAACTAACTGCCTCCCGGGAAGTGCTCGGTAGGAGGGCGGGCTCCGTTCTTAACTGGTGAGTTTTGCTACTCATATCGTCAATTTTTTATGCCCTATATCTTCAATTTAGGGAGATCGGAAAGGGGCTTTCGTGGCAGTGGGACAGTTTGTCAGAGCATTCTTCAGAATTAAAAACCTTCTTTTAAGTAATGATTTAAGGGAAGTTGCAAGGTAGACTATTGAATTAGGAGGTTTGATTGATCCCTCTTTCCAGGTGTTTGTTGTTTTGCTCACCTTTTTGGACAAATGGCTCTGGAGGAAATTTTAAAAAAGAAAAAAGGCTTCTTTGTCCCAGAAAACAGAAACGGGAATTTAACAAGACCTTTTTTTTCACCTCCCTCTACAGTTCGCACATTGTTGAAAGCGTTCTTGAAGTATTTATGAGTTGCTAGGTTGGGAAAATTTCTCAAGACCAAAATTACCTTCTTTTTAACCAGATAGGATAGTAATAATGTGTCCGATTGAAAGAATTCCTTCCTATATCGTTCTTGTAGGAGCCATCTCAAGGAAAATAACTATGTAGACAAATACAGATCGTTATGTTGTCATTCAACATACACATGTATATATATTAGAAATGTCCAACTAATTCTGTAAAAGTTAAGTCTGTTAAAGTGACAGCATGGTCAGTTTACAGCTAATCACCTTACAAGTTAGATCTTTTTAGAAATAGGACTTTGAGCCTCTTATCTGGTAACTACTTGCTGGTAAAGCTTAATTTGAAGTGGGAGTTAAGCCCCGGAATTTTTTATCTGGCCTTGCAGTTAAAGAGCAGTTGCTAAATGTGAAGTTCTTTTAGTTCTTATTTTAAACCAATGAATATCATGGATATTGTTAAAATGTAACATCTATTTTGGGGACTTTAAACACATTTGGTGTAGAGTGGCTCCAGCATGCCTCTTAGTAATAAGGTTTGCAGTTAGCATATTTGTAATGCTAGAGATTGTGTGAGTACCTCTGAATATATACAAAAAAGCTCTCTTTGACTACAGGACTGAGCTGCTGTTACCTACCAGTAAACTCAGTATAGGAGCTTGTAAAATGTAGATTGCCTGGAACTGTTGCTGAGATTTTATATTGCCTTTATAAACACTCCTTTATTTTGAATGTTCACTTTTCTCAAACCAGTAGGATAATATTTAATAACCTTTCTCAAGTTTTGGTAGGTTCCATGGTCTCAAAAGATTGTCTTTGTGGTATGTTTCTCCCTGATATCTGCTTAACTCTGTGAAATGGCACGCTGTATGTGCCTTTGGGGAGAAAATGCTAGTTAAATTTGGCTGTACATAAAGTTGCATCCAATTCCTAGGCTCTTTCCAAACAAAGATAAGGGAAAGCAATTTTTGTGAAAGGTGTATCTAAGTAAACATGCTTACTTAGAAATATATTCCACTGTAGCTATTTCTTGCAGCTGTAAGGATTGCAGCTTGAGGATTTTAGGAGTAATTAGGATATTCACAAACTAGTTGAATAAAACTACAATACTAGCTACACTAGTTTTGTTGATTTCTCTAAATACTTTGCTGAAAAACTCATTTTAAATTATATCACCCAAATTTCCACATAGATGCTTTGGTTTGCAGATGTCACTTGCTTCCCAACTAGGTTTTTACTGTGTAGTTATTCTGCCGCAGACACAAACTTCTCCAAGAGATAATAGTCCATTTGCATTCCACTCATGTCTTAACTACTGTTTCCTCCATCTTCCACTTACTAGGATAAAAAAAGGGGTGGGTGGGGGATAGCTACACAATACCTTTTGTTTAACAGCAATTATTTGATAGAAGTAACTGGAGCCCTGTAATCTTTATATAAATACTTTTGTTAAATGCAGTTGCAGTTTGGCCCAGGATTTTACCATCCTGCTTTTAAATTGTTACCTTAAAATTATCAGCCACAGCAGTATAACCTGTAATCTGAATGTATTTGACTTGTAGACTTACTGCATTTTAGGGCATCTGAAATTTTATAAAGCATTTCCTCTACTTTGTCCAAGCAATACAGATATGAAACAGTACAGCATCCAAGGTAGAATGCTGTGCTATTCCACCATAGCTCTCTCCAGTTTACTGAGGAACTGTTGAAAAGCACTTTTTTACAGCTTTCTAGGCAGTTGTGGATCCATCCACTTGACCCGCCATCCGATTGACATTTAAATGGATTGCTAAACTGAAAATCATGGGGCCCTTTGTCAGATGCTTTACTGAAGTCATGATGTATTATGTCCATAGCATTCCCGCAATTTGCTGGGTTATCCAATCAAAAAATTAATTTGACAAGAGTTGTTCTTGACAAATCCATGCTGATCTCTGGCAATTTCAAAGTGCTCACAGATTGCTGGTTTTATGCTCTAGAAAATTCCTGAGTTTTGATGTTAGACATCTGCTTTCCACAATTCCTCCTTTTCCCCATTTTTTAAAAAGAATGTAATTTGTTCTCATACTAGTTTAGTACTTTGCCTGTTCTTCAGGATTTCTGAAAGTTGATACGTAAAAGGCCAGACAACCAGCAAATCCCTTCAGCACCCTAAGATGCAAATTTTCTGGCCCCAAGATTTCAGTCCAAAGTATTATTTCTCATTTGATCAGTCTCGATTCTGAGCCATCACCCTGTTCCTCAGAATTGCCTGGTGAAGTACATCCTGTATTACAAAGAAGACTAAGGTGCCAGAATAGGTGTCACTGTTACTTTTTTACCTGTTAGCATTTTCTGACTTCATTTTAGCTTCATTTATTTTGTATTTTCTCTTCCTTTTTAGCATTCACCATCAAGGTCATTCTGAATTCTAGCTTTCTTGGCACATCTCCATAAATCTACCTGTATATACAGGGAAAGGTTGTTTTAAAGGGCCATTTGGGGGAAGAAATGGCAATTGCTGCCAGATGTCCAGAAGGTATGTTAGGATGGCAGTTTGTGTCATTTGGCAATGACAAATGAAATCATTATGCACATGTGAATGACTGATACAGATAATGAAAACTAGTTTACCCCAACACATTTTCTACACACTTTGTATCTTTCTGACTCTGCAAACCATCTTTGCTTCTACTACATCCATGTACTGATTCATACACTGCCATTTGTCACATCTTTAATATTCTCACCTCTGTCATTTTCAGAATCCCACATCCAACCAAGAAGCATATAGTGAATGATGGTAATAAAAAGCAACTGAGAAGTCCAAGGAAATTAATATTTATATGTATTTATATTGTCATTAATATTGACAATATCTAAGCCTGATTTCTTCAAGAACATGCAACTCTGGCATCTTTGAAAAACCCTCAAAATATAGCCCCTCTAATTTTCATTGAGATATTTATAACCTAGTAGATGCAGATATAGAGAGCCACTTTGGTGTAGCAGTTAAGACACCAGGCTATAAATTGGGAAATTGTGAGTTCTAGTGCCACCTTAGGCACAAAGCCAGCTGGGTGACCTGTGGCCAATCACTTTCTCTCAGCCCTAGGAAAAAAGCAATAGCAAAATTTTGCCAAGAAAGCTGCAGGGGCTTGTCCAGGCAGTCAGCAAGAGTCAACACTGACTTGAAGGGAAAGGGAGGGAGGGAAGCAGATACACGTCTCCTTTTTGCTAAGCATACATTCTTTTTCTGCTACTTTTAATCAGGATAAAGGTCAAGTGTACAAATGGTCACTAAGACTCAATCAAATATCTTGTCTACTTCTTTGGAATCCAGTAATGGAAACTTGCCAGTCTAACTGGACCAAATTATGCTCTAGACATCTAGACAAAGGACATTCCATTAACTGCAGATTCTAAGTAATACTGAATACAGGTATCCCAAGGCCAATCAGATAATTTGCAATACCTAAAGCAGAACCTGCTAAGAGAACCCTGATATGTTTTGTCTGTGGAAAGCCTGGAACCAATGCATGCCATAAATATGGTGAAGGATTCTGTATTTGTACTTATATCCACGCACATAGAAGTTGTACATCAAAGACTGGGAATAATAGAAGGAAACATCTGATTCTTTGCTTCTTCCAGTCTTTTAAGTCTGGGTCTTGCATTGGAGTATGACGTTTCAACAGGCACACAATAAAGTTGGATCACGTGGTCTGCCACGATATAACTGTGGACTAGGAAATTTATTGCAGTATTGGGTTGAATCCTTAAATGTTTAGTCACCTCATTTTCTACAGACAGAAGGCATATGAATTTGGATTAGATAACCAGTACTATTTTCTGAGAAACATGCAATGAATTTATCTGGGATCTATAAATGCCTGAAGCTGTCTTTTTTTCTTGTCTCTTTATCCATTACTGTATACTTTATCTTCATTATTTTGTGACCTCTTTTTAATTTAAATAGTGTTTAGTGTTGATTGTCATCTCAAACAATGAAAACAACAAGAATAAAATGCAAGAAATTATCTACCAATCCACAGGATTTCTCCCCTTTCCCAGTATCATTGCCTAGTACAATATAATAAAAGTTCTCATTTATTTATTTACATCCATTCTTTCAACAACTGCTCAAAGTTACAGTTGCAATGAAAAAATGGACGCACAGCCGGTCCCCGAAGTTTCAGCCATTGCAGCACCCTTGCAGTCACATGACCGTGATTCAGGCAGTCAGGTGCCCGGCTTGTAATTACGAAATCACAGGGAACCATGGTCATGTGATTGCCATTTGCAACCTTCTCTGCCGGCTTCCCACAAGCAGTCAATGGGGGAAGCTGGCAGGGAAGCTTGCAAGTCGCTCCAGTAAGTTGCTTCTGCCCGCAGCACCTCCACCGCCTGTGTGCAGCCTCCACCAGCCTTCCCAGGCCTCCCCAACTCATGCACAGCCTGCGCTGGTTCTCCCAAACCTTGCCTAGCCTCCCTCAACTCCCACACAGCCTGGGCCAGCCCTCCCAGGGCGTCTCCCTTCTCCCCCATTCTCCCGCAGCACCCCCCACCCTCCCATGTCACCCCCATGCTCCTTACCTGGAACTCCTGCTTTTTCCTGCTTATTGAGCCATGTGTCTTGGGGTTACGATGGCAACTAGTATTGCCATTGCTAAGCAATGTGGTCAAGTGACATTGTGCTTTATGACCGCATCACTTAGTGACAGGAATCCTGTCCCCAATTGCCACTGTAACCTGAGGATTGCCTGTACTTCTTACAATGCCTATGTTCTTCAAGCAAATCAACTCTATTTGATTTGCAAAGTTAGATAAAACCAACAACAAACAGCAGGATAATGCAGCTATAATATGGTAAATATAATCAGACATATATCCATATCCAGTGGTGTACTGGGGCAAACTCATTTTCTGGAATTTTGCAAGCCGGTTGAGAGCAGAGCTGAGCTGCAAAGCCTAGTGTTCCAATCAGCTGTTTGGCAGCTAGCAACAGGACAGAGGGAGTTGTTACACATTTATGAGCATATCACTATCCATAACCTACTCTTTTCTCAGGACAATACTCTGACAATATTGCTGTCATCTCCCTCAAAGGCAGCTCTTCACAACTCAAACCAAATGTTCCATCTGCTTAAAATCATCATTCAACAAAGTTACATTTGTAAATTTTCAGACAAGACTGTTGATTACGCAGGAGCAGGATCTGAAACATTAATAGCAACTATGTCACACGCCTTGGCAATAGGTACTAAGGAATGAGATTTCATGAAATAATCTTCTGTACATAAAAAATAATGTACAGTAGAAAACGTTATTCATATTGAGAAGAATTAATAGATGGGTAGATACTCATTAGCAAAGACAAAACACAATAAAACAAAATTCTGCCATAATCAGGATTGTGGCAGAATGTACCTCAGCACCCTTCTATACTTTAAGTAGCTAATTATTAATGGTACTAATATCACATGAACCAACAGAAACAGAAAAAGAGGAAGAAAGTCTGCCATCTGGCTTTTTAAAATATATATATCTTCGATGAGTCTTGCTGAGAAGTGAAAGAACTGAGGAGAGAAGGGAGGAAGAAAGGACTAATCAGAGTTCAAAAGAGTCTACATTTGGTTGTCTTTTTCTTCTAGCCAAGTTCAGCTACACAGAAGAAAATAATAAGCAGTTTGGCTGGCTGAATTTAAACATACAATTGGTACAATAGGAAAACATGGAAGTTTTAATCTTCTAAGAGATTTTTTTTAGTACTCTCAGCACTGTTGGACTCTGTCTAAAGATTTTGGAACAGAAATGACTGGATACCCAATAAAATGCTGAAAACTCCAGTTACAAGTTCTCATTGTACCAAATAGCTTTCTGTATTATTTGATTTTCTTAATTTAATTCAGGAGTAACAAAATACAGTATGGGTCTTATTGTTTCATAAGACTTCAGTATGTTGGGCTTTCTTTAAGATTTCATCTCTCACAGCAAATCTGAGAAACTTCACAATAAATAGAGGAGGCTAATTTGATTTTTTTTTTTAACAATTATTCTCAGTAAGTAGTTTTCAATAAGGCTAATACTTTATCTTTTAAAGATGAATGAATCAGTATTGATGGGAGGTTTTAGTTACCCTGACAGCAGTTGGGAGACAAACTTTGCCACAAAAAAATAAGGTCCTTCTAAGAAATGCCAGATTTGTCCTGTTGTCCTTTCCTTTCCCTTTTAATGGAGGAGGAACTAGGTGTAGCAAGAATATTGAAGAAAAGTGATGCTTGAGTTCTTGATTTTAAATGAAATTAAAACTAAGCATGTCAGACAAGTATGTGTGGTCAGAAACCAAAAATTACATATAATGCAGCCCTTTATCTGAACAAAACTTCTTAGTATTATTTTCTTCTTCTCCTTCTTCTTCTTCTTCTTCTTCTTCTTCTTCTTCTTCTTCTTCTTCTTCTTCTTCTTCTTCCTACTACTACTACTACTACTACTACTACTACTACTACTACTTGCCTCACAGGCAGCATGTCTTAAATACAGTTCCTGGGAACTGACAGTAGAAATAGTATATTGCCTTTTGGTCCATACTAGTGAGCTTCTTAAATATACCTGACTGACTGCTATGTTTTTATGCTGATTCTGCAGTATCCTAAAGTCTTATATGCATAGCCAGGATCTGTACTGTGGTCATCTCTGTCCTCTCTGAAGAAGCCCAGCCTACTGAACAGCATATGTTTGATTTTACAGTCTCAGACTTGTGCAGAACTGAGGTGATAGAGGGCTATGTTCTCTACGTCTGATGGCAAGACTTGGGTTAGAGGGTTCTCAATATGGGACTCACAAAGTTTTCTGTTAAGATGCTCATCAGAATCTTCTACCACATGCTGCAGAATCCAAGGGCTGGAAGGCATGGCATATTAACTTCTGGGAAATTTTCCAAATGTTTTGAATTGTTTAAAAATAAAAATCTTCAGTAATTCAACATGTTCAGTGACTTCCTATGATAATTATTTTGTCTTTGTACATAAGGAATTTAATATAAGTCAAACCTGGAACATCTGCTTTCTGTGAATCTTAATCTTGGTTAACCATGTATTGTTGATATCGTCCAACCTACTAAAGTACATTTTTTTAATCAAGATATTTAAATTATCCTATTAGACTGCCACTTCAGCAGTACTGGGTCAGATATATTTTTTTAACTCTAGAAAAAATTAAAACTTTAGTGTCATGTTACACTGGCAGAGGAATTCCAGCTGAGGAAAGCATGCAAAATGATTTATAGAAGCTGTCTTAAATTCTGTCCCTAAATTAGGGACACAGGATCCAGAATAAGAAATGGCTGGATATTTAATTTTCTACACACATTGACACCAATACTGAAAAATGAAACATTAAATTGTTAAACAATATACATTTTATACATTATTAAAATACAATAAATATATTTAAACTAAATATTACAATAAATTTCATAAAATGTAAGCAACATAAGGAACCATTGAATATGATTAGGAATAAAAAAATAGTAGTCCAAACTATTGAATTCCACTGTTCTTTGATTTTTGTTTCTTTACATAACAATTCACCATTTTGTTGCATTTTTCCTGTCTGAAAATAATTGAAAACCCAAAAATCTATCGACTATTCTTCTTCTGTTGTGGATCTTTATATTCCAATTGTATATCAATAATCAGCTCCTCCTTGTATTTATTTCATTCTTTTTCTGGACTTCTTGTTACTTCCAAGACGTCATATTTATGTGCATGTACTTCATGCCATGTAAAGGCATATGCCTGAGCACTACCATTAACAGCCCTGTTCTTTTTTTAATTGGGAAAGAGATGGAACAGATTGTTAAGCTAGCCAGGTATAAACACTGTCCTTTTTATTTTTCTCTCCACATACTTTTTAGTGACAGTATGAGTGACCCTTGTAAAGGCATTGGCCAACCATGAGTTTTAGATTGTCAATCTTGCTTGACCCATTTTTTTGAAGTTCTTGTAGAGTCCTTAATCATAACCTCATTACATAAGTAATATTTTTGTCTTATGTAATATGGTTTTCATGTTTTGAATATTGCAAACTTTTTTTTAAGGCCAGAAACCCTTTTCTGTTGAAAGAAGCATTCTCTTATGTTAGACATTGTAGCACAAGAGCCATCTAGGATAGCATAAAATCAGGGGGATTCTGGTAGCACATTTTCTGACTACCAATGCCTTTTAATAAAATTCAGAGAAAATTTATTAAGGGTCATAAGGTGGATAAGTCAGAAGCAAGGGTTGGTCAGGACCCATTAGTGGATGTGGGGGGAAGCACATCTGATCTTTTCCAATCCCAATTTTGTCTTATATCTTTTCTTTCTGCAAAATATGAGGAGAAAGAACAGATTGTTCTTGATAAGAGCTGAGGACCACATGAAATTAGTCTGTGGGCTGCAAGTTTCTCTGCATTTCAGCAATTAGGGTCAATCTGCTTGCTTTTTTGTTTCAGACCATAGCTAAATGACTCCAGCCACTTTGGTATTTCATCCAGGATTGTTACATTATGATAAACATACATTACTATTCGTAACAACTAAAGAGCCTAAAAAAGACATTTAACACTAAAGTAGGGCCAAGTAATGTCTGTAATAATGGGTATGATGAGATATCATCCAGGATGTAGACACTGTTGAGAGAATTGATATAAGTAAGTTATATGATACTTAGGTGGACCCAGTTTTATAATGTCTTGATTAATATTTTATCTTTATAAGTATTATGATTTAATATTTAATGTTTGCCTCAGGGAGTAAATTCAACATGTGCACTTCCAGTTGGCCATACCCAAAATGAATATTTTTAAAAATTCAATTTTAAAAATGCGATTTTTCTTTCCTATAAATGTTTTATATAATCTTAAATTAGGAATTTGAATTTGGTTTACATCATTAAATAATGAAGAGGATCTTCGGAACTTAGTTTTTTAGAATTTCACTGCTTTGGAGGAATGCTGGCTTTAACTGAATAATTGGAAATGCCTTGCAGCTTCCATGACAGGACAATGATTCCACCAGAAGAATGTCTGTATGCAGGGAGGAAAAGACGGAAACCCATTCAAAACCAGTTAAGTATTTATCAGATTTTATCTTTATTATTTATTCAATTTTATTCTTAAAACAACTGTTTACTTATTTCCATTTTCATGTATATAACCTGCTTTGGCTCTTTCACTTTCCTATTTTATCCTCAAAATAGCCCTGTAAACTAGATTGGGTTGGAGAAATAAAAAATTGTCCAAGACTGTGACTGAGTAGGGATTTAACATGGGTCATTCCTTGTTGAAGGACAGAACTATCATTAGTCTGCATTGATATATATATTTTGTGGACTATGTGCATCCTACTTTGTTTCAGGCAGTGTTCTTTGATATAATGATATAGATATATACATATGTACAGCACTTATTTATTTGTGCATAGTGTTACACACTTTTCATTGTAAACTGTACTCTCAGCCATGCCCTCCTCATTCCTTCAGTTTGGGAAAACCTTGGGAATTAAATGTCTGTGCAGGAGCTAACTGCCTCTAGTAGAATCTTCAGCACTTAACTCGTTATGGTTCTCAGAATTCTTTGGGCAAAACTGTATCTTGGTCCTCCTTGGCCCACCTATCCCTTTCCCAACATTTGGAGAAGAATCTATTTCCTCCTTCCCACACAAACCAAGAAGAACAGCCTATCACACTGTCTTCATCCCCTCCCCAAGAGTTTGTCATTGTTGCTTCTAAATAAAATATATATTTGCACTTTTATTCTCCCCCCCTCAATGGTATCTGTTCATTCTTAGTGCACATGAAATGTATACCACAGTACTGGGGATAAAGCAATTCAAATAGAACAAAATTAATTTTAGAAGTATATTGCAGTCGTATGAAAATAGGCACAAAAATCAAACTACTACTATAAAAAGCAAACTTCAAAACGTAATCTCAGTGTGTTGCTTTAGTAAGAAATTGCCCTGATCTTGGCCTGTGTTGGTGGTGACATCTTGGCCTATGTTGGTGGTGAACTGAAAAATACCTCCCTCTGTCTCTACAAAATTCCCAGGTTAACTTGTTTTATAATTGTGTTAGCTTATATTATTTTATGTTTTCACAATTGTACCTCAGCAATTTTAATAAAACATTCCTTGAAGGTTATAAAACTTGTTCTGTCAACTGCCAATGATACATCTATTTGTCAACTCAAGATAGAAGAAAACTGAAGTGTCTTGTAGATAAGAGAGCTTTATTACTGTTAACACACTTACAGTGTTTTATACCCAGGAATATGTTTGATACTGCATATCTATGTGATTATTGTACCTTTTTCATGCTCTTATAGCATATTGCTAAATTTATCTTGCTCCATAGCCATTGTTTTTTCCCCTATGATGGAGCATTCATTTCATGTTTTTTATATAAGGGAATGCCCAAATCAGTTAAGATTAATATCACAAATGGTATATAATTATAGGTCATCTAATTTAGAATTAGATCTTTCTTATATAACAGTAATATAATTACATGTTTAGTAAAAAGAAAGAAAAAAGGTAAGAATTCCCTCAAATTGAGCTCAGTATCTGGTGACTGCATCCATGTAGGGGTTTTTTAGCAGCCTTATGGAAGTGGCTTCTGAGATTTAAAAAAATATCTAAGAGAAGATGGCCTGTTTTTCTTCCAAATTAGTCAGTTGTTAAGAAAAATTGCTGGATGGGTTCAAGAAACTGACACATTTTCTCCCCAAATAGGAAGCCTGAACATGGGAATAGAACCTCTAATCCTTCGAAGAGACATAGAGACCGCTTGAATGCTGAATTAGATCACCTGGCTAGTCTTCTGCCTTTCCCTCCAGATGTGATATCTAAACTGGACAAACTATCTATCTTGCGTCTCAGCATTGGTTACCTTAAAGTCAGAAGCTTCTTTCAGGGTAAGCAGTCTAAGAAAAATCATCAAGCAAGAAAATGCCTTCTCTCTTTTTCTAATATAACTGCCGGTAGTTGCACAACTTTGAATTTATCTCTGTGTTTGCCTTCTTTAAATTATCTCAAGCTATCCAGTTACACACAAGATGAAATAAAGGAAGTTATAAAGCCCCCCCTTTTTTGTATTCTCTGTATAACTTCCTTTATTTATTCCGGGAAGGGAGGGGTATGGAAAGGAAAAAAGAAAAGAGGAAAAAGAAAAAGAAAAAGAAAAAAGTAACTTCCCCCTTCCTCCCAGCAAGTAAAGACAAATTTAATAGCCTATCACCACTTTAAATACAACACAATCTCTCTTCTCCCCCAGCTCATCTCTTAAGTAAAAAAGCAAAATCCAAATGCTTCGTCAGTCGTTCTTTGTCAGCAAAAGTCCAGTAAGGGCAACCAGATATCACATTTTTCCTCTTTTAGCCCTGATCGAACAAACCAACCTTGTATTCCTTCGTAGAGTTTTTGAAAATATTCTTTAGCCCTTTCAAAGAGAGTCCTAGAGGTAGTTTGCCAGTCATCTGTATTTCAAGGCAAAAATCTTTCAGATCTTTAACAAGTTTCTTTTGTATATCCAATAAGTAAAGTTTCTCCTTTTGCTTGTCACTTGTAATAAAGTCCTTCAAAACCTTAACAGAGCTCTTTTGTATATCCAGTAAGAAAAAATTATCCAAATCTGTTTCTTGGTTTAATATCTGTACACGTCCTTTAGGGAATGAGTAATCCATCAGATCCATTTGTGTTACATTTAAATCCTGCATTAAATCAAATAACTTCATAAATATTCATCGCAATTTGTTCTTGTTCTATAACTTCATTACATGTTCTGTCTTTTTCCTCTAGCTCCCTCTAGTGTCCATCCTTCAAGATTTCATCATAAAAACAGCCAAAACCTTCTTATCTTAAAAAAGCCACAACAGTTGCCATTTTCTCATGAGAAAATATATTCTAGTTAATTCAGAGCTATAATTCCAAATTGCTCTGGCCCTTTAATCCATTGTTAACTTTCCAAAATCCATATACTAAGCACTTTTGCTGTATAGTCCAAGAAATGATAGATTTTCAAAACTTTTAAAATCGAATATACACCATTGTCCTCTAAAGAGGAAGAAACTCACCAGATGAATACAGTAAAGCCTTGCCAGTCCAAAGGGTTTTAATCTCTCCAGTAAACAAACAAACAAAATTAATAATCCAAATCCAAAAAAGTGATTAAGAAATAAGGCTCGGTCGAGCTTAATGTCCACAAAAGGCTGCTTTGCGAGTGTGAGTTTGATTAAATCCTGACTCCCAGCTTCTCCACTCATAAGCCAACTGCAAAATGGCAGTTTCTGCAGTCCACTCACAAATAGCGGCTGTCCGGAGTCACATGGGTAACGTCAACAATTTCATCGGTCCAGATCCAGCTTCCAGCCATGATTCTCCTTGCAAAGCTGTCCTGCTGACAAGAGGATGTCAGCTTACCATGACACTCACAGGAAGTCCCCCTTATTCCAAATGATCCCAATAACTGAAGAAAAGATGTTGAATGAGTGGCAAAGCCGAGTAACTTCATTTGGTTAAATAAAAGATGGAGGATCAAATTCAGGATTCTACAAGACACAATGAGGTGGATTGGCTATATCAAACTTTGGTCATACTATCCAGCTAGTTGCCTGTTCTGGATAACTGATTGGATGATATCATCATATGGCTGGATTACTTTTATAGTAATAGTAGGAACAGGGCTTTCAGAAGCCCTGCACAAATCCTTCTGGTCTGATAGAAATAGAACTGTTTAGTGCAGGGCTGGGCAACCTTCTTCTGCATAGGGGCCAGAGGCCATGCTGCTGTCATGGCCATTTCCTCCTCCTCCTCCACCTCATAGCTTACTCTCGCCAGTGCCAGGTGGTGAACTTGTTGCTCCATCCATGCCGAGGCAGCTGGTGACGCTATCCCCAAAATGGCCACCCAAGGAGGTAGCAAGTGATTTCTGATCTCTCTCTTGGGCCAGGTGAATAGATTTCTTTTTGGGACCACAGGTTGTAGGTTGCCCACCCCTGGTTTAGTACATAGGAGATAATTCTATTATAACAAGCTTAGTAAGAATATGGGTCAAATATAAAAGAATATCCCTTCTTACTTCAATAGTAAATACCTTTATGAAGGTAAATATGTGTAAAATATTGATCAGCGGGGAGGTAATAATTCCTATAGACTGCAAGATTTAATCTTTAATAAAACAAAGATGAGATCTTTTAAGACTCTCTTTGGACTGGTCAGAAATGTCTTATTCTGTATCTTCAAATAAGCATATTTCAAAAGGAACTACAGAAACAAGGTGGCATACTTAAAGATTCGACTGAATTTGAAATGCTTATAACAAAACTCAGAACATCTGTTAGATCTTATATATAAATTGGTACTGGAATATGATTCTGAAATTGAAGAAACTGAATTGTTCAAACAGGACAATTGATCTGCAACAGTGGCAATTGTTTCCATTGTTGCCAGTTCCCACGATGCTATAGTGGCCCTGAGAATCAGGGATGCCTCTTAGTGTGGACATTAGAAGGGAAAGATGGTAAAACACAAATTACCCCTTGGTTACAAACAAACAATGTGCTTTTCTTCTTCATGGCTTCTGTGCTTCACCATATGGATGTATGCTTTATATATGCAAGGTTACCACCAGGTGCTGAGATAGAATAGAAAAAGCAACATTTCAGCCTGACAAAAAGAAACATCTAGTCACACACATGCATCCAGTATACTGAAAGGAAATAGCTGCTTTGTGAAGAACTGGAAAAGGGGTATCCCAAAGAGCCATGGGGGGTGCCATAACCTTTGCAGCAAAAGGGTAGTTCTTAGCATTGATAAGCAAGGTACATCATCTTCACTATTCATTGTGAGAAAAGCTGAAAGAGACTAACAAACTTTTCCAAGGCAGATAGTAGAAGAGAAGCATTCAGACTTCTTCACAGCTTTGTTTTATACACTAGAATGCAAGAACACATTTGAACACCCCAAGATGCTTTAAATCTGAAGATGGATTCTTAGTTGGTAAAGTTGGTAAAATGAATGGCTAATTAATGTGAAACTTTTGAGAGGAAGGTAATGTTTAGCTCAGCACAGACCAATTAAGGATAAAACTGACAGAAAGGCAGGTTGTCCTGTCCCAGGCCAAACATGCACACCTCATGGAGAGGTGGTTGCAGGCTTTACTGATAACTTTGTGAAACATACACCTAAACAGAAGAGGAAATGTAAACGCACATGCACACACAGTGAGAAACAAGTCCCCAAGTCCTACAGACTTACCTTACGAGACCCCCAAATCCAAAGCAGCAGGTGCAAGAGTAGTCAAAATAAAGTCCAAGGGTCAAATGTTGCAGGAGATTCATCAGCCTTTGGTTTGGGTCCAAAGCCAAAGTCACAGGATTTCAAGTCAGGAGCCGAGGTACACAGAATTTGGGTTAAACAGATGGCTGTTGCCAACAGAAAAGCTTGAGTTTCCTGCTCTTCTTAAATAGAACCAGTGCCAGTGTTCTCATTAGGAAGAGCATGGTTCCTTTCTTACAAGGACCCTTGTAGAGCACCTTTGCTCAGCTCTCTTCTCGGCACATCAAGCCCTTGCACATCAAGCAAACCTCCTTGCAACTCTAAGAACACAGAGCTTACTACCCTTCAGGCTGAATTCATGTCCACAAGAAATGCTACCTAAAGCATTAGAGATATGGAACAGAAAATACCAGTCATTTAAAAGATTTAGCCATTAAGGCTGAAGTTGCAAGACAGTAAAGATGCACACCATGGAAGAAGATGATTCTGGGTAATCAATAAGCATTTACTGAAGGATGATATATTGAAATAGCAACCAAATATACTTTCAACGATAGAAAGACTAATCCATAGTTTTTAGTGAGAGGAGAGATTTAACCCCTTATTCAGAATTTGGCTTACTTGGAGAATGGTCACAGACTCAAATAAGCAAGATTGAATGAATGAAGAATGAAGCCATGTATGAGATTTTCTTCTGCAGTATAGAGAAATCAAAGCATTTATTCCAGAGTTTAAATTCTCCCCCTGCTCCAGTTCAGTGGGTACTTGGCCATTCTCTTACTGGCTTTGGAAGGTACCTGGTTCTATGTTAATAAAATAATTGTCTCTGGACTGGGGGGAATATACATGACCTCCACACTACTGCCACTACCATGCATGTTGTGACAACTTGAGGGGCTGTTGCAAAACTAAAGAGAAGGCCCTGAAACAATACACTAGATAGCATCACATTCTTGTTGGCTACCTGTAATTATTTGTTAACTTATTTAATTGGACAGTCAAGTTTCTGAAAGTATCAGGAAGAAAGAAGCCAATTTATATTCCAAATCACTTTTCCCCTTCAAATCAGGATTGCTGTAATCTGTGCTTACCATATGATCGGAAATGGAGAGAAGGGAAAGGAGGCAGGGGATGAAATGCAAAAAGAACACAAAGATTTTCATATGTATTTCTTGAACAATCCAATCTACAAAAGGAGGTTTGCTCAAATGAAAAATATGCATTGGCATAGCAGGAAGATACAAAAGGACTGAGCAATGTTAGAATGTTTAATTGGGAGTATTCACATAATGCTTTAGAATGTTATATGTTTCAAAAATTACAGTGTCTTATGTTACTTTTTGTTTTGTTTTTGTCTAACACTGTTCTTGCCCTGGTATTTTGGACTACCTAACCAGCATCAAGTGCCCATTCAGGTCTGAGTCTGAATGACTGGATGACATATAAGTTGAATAAAGGCTTTTTGTTTAAAAAAGAATATTGCATACAGCGTGAGTGAAAACAAGAAACAGTAAAAAACCATCAAAGATATAGGCTAGGGCCAAGTGCTAAAATGTTATGCAAATACATCTTAATTTTCTGGACCTTAAGATTTAGTAGCCCTGTATTTCAAGTTTTACTTTTGTGCTTCATTTCATTTACCATCCTTATTTTTAATTGCAGCTTTACGTTCTACTTTTTTTTACTTTGAAATATATACTGTATTATGAATGACATTTTTATGCCTAGCCATATGATCATCACTAGGTGTCCTTCCTGTAGTTATTACCATTATTGGAATCCTTTTGGCAGACGTTGCTGTCTTACTGTATACAATAAAAGGTAATAAGTAAGACAGAGCAATGGAATAAGTAGAAATAGGGTACTCTGACATGGCGAACATGTAGGCCTACAACGAAAGACATTTTGCAATTATTCCTCATTTTGCATTATTTCTCCTTGATAGCTTTTCTCTGAAAAGACAAGTGATATAAGAACTAATGTGCAAAGACAGGAGGATAACAGATTGAGAATACTGTCATCTGGACCCTTTATGAATAAAGCAGAGTAATAGCACGATAAAAGCTTCATGCAGAAGTTGTCACATTCTGCCCTAGAGGAGGGATTGGGACCACCGTAAGTTTGAAGTCTAATTGCAAAAAATTGCAAACAACAACCAATAAAACCCCTCATAGTCTGGGAGACACATTATTTTTAAAGCTAGTCCATAAGTCAAAAATCAAACCATTTTAAGTCCTAGAGAAGGCTCTGATAATCTGTATCTTCCAGGGCCCTCTGAAGCTAGAATCCAATCACTTTCTCAATAACCTTCCCCAGAAAGGAGAGACTAAACAAGTATTATGCAGGCCAGCAAAGGTTTCTAGAGGAGAGGGCATACCACTGCATCCTTCAAGGCAGAGGGCACTCCAAGGACCCAACTGCATATCACCTCCCACCTTTATGGACCCAACTACCCTTCACCAGCCAGGAAAGGCATAAATCTAATACAGAGATATCTGGTTTCATCAGTCTGAGGTCCTTGTCTACTTCCTCTGGAGTCACAGGCTCAAACTCATCCAAGTATCCAGATAACCAAGGAAGTGTTTTCAGGTTTTGTCAGTCAGAGTCCAACTCCAAGTGAATCTCAGTGACTTTATCCACCAGATGTTTATAATACAGCAGTCTGCTAAAAAAAATCCTGTGGTCCATTTCTTCCTAGCAAAGAATAGGTCACAGTAAAAAGGGCTGCTGGGCAACTATCTGTGGATGCAATAAGATCAATAGTTATATTTCACAGCTCTTATCACCATAGTGTAATCCCTAATATGGGCTCTTACTCGTGCATGGTTTGATTCACTCTTCATCTTCTTCCAGTGGTGCTCTGCATTGTATCTCTTGAAGATCAGTAGAAAAACAAGGAGCCCAGCAGGATTGATGCACAGTGAGAGGCTTTGTAGGAGTAATCATATCCAGGGCTCCTGTCACACTCCATGCCTGGCAACAACAAGGGCTCAGTCAAACTGCCTTGAAGTTAACCCCAAGCCTGCAGGATCCATTAGTCACCTAGTGCAACTTTCAGATCCTAATTAAGACTCCAAATGGGCTTAATTCATGCTTGATCTCATTTATCCATTTGGCTCCAGTTGAATCCACCTGTGATGGACTGGAATGGAGGAAGGGGGGTGAAAACGGTGCTCTCGTCTCCAGAGC